TCCTACTCCATAATTTAAAGAGATTGAAAGCAATAAGCTCAAGTAATTCACCTTGATTAATAAAAGTACTCATTCAGGTACCATTGTGAAGATGCATTTGCTTGCAAACTCCAAAGGGATAAACAGATTAGGAAGTTGATATTGGCACATTATATAATCCACTTTTGGCCAAATTAGGAAGCAAGGCTACCTTGAGAGATTTTTTGTGGGGGGACAAGGTCTCACTCTGTAGCTCAAGCTGGAGTGCAGGGGTGTGATCATAGCTCACTGCTGCAGCCTCAAACTCATGGCCTCAAGTGGTTCTCCCGCCTCTGCCTCCTGGGGTGCTGAGATTACAGGTATGAGCCACCTCGCTGGCCTTTTTAGCCTATTTCTTAGCCAGGCTACTAGAGATTTGGGTATGCTGGCTCTTCCTCCCTCCCACACTGGGCTGCTCTGGTCCCCATGAGGTTTTCCCAGAGTTAGAGGAACCCTGGTCTTTGTAGGACTCTGGGGCCCAGAATCACAGAGGACCATTTAACTCTGGATGGGGAACCAGAAAACCTGGGAATTGAGCCTTCTGCTTTCTGTGGGAACTTTTTTCTTTCTTTTTTTTTTTTTTTTTAGCTTACCAAAGTGATACTCAATGTGGAACCTTTTAAACTTTTTCCCCGATTGCTGTAAAAAGTAGATGATTATGCCTTTCTTGTTTACCTCATCGGGCTTTGATGGCCATCTTCCATAGGCTATGTGAATGTGTTTTGTAAACTGTGACGCAGTATATAAACACTGCTACTTACTACTGCTTCTGTCAGAACCCTGCAATCCTAAATGGTTTGACTGAAAGGCTGGTCAGGTCCGGTGCCAAGAGCTAGATCTGGGGACTTGTCAACGTTCTCTAAGATTCCTGGGCCCCACCCTGTCCTCCTTCCACCTCTCTTCTAGGTGGAACGTGGGACTAAAATCTTTCGATGACTATCGATCCACTGAAAAAATGGTCAAGGAGTATAAAAACTGGCATCAACTCCATTTCATTTCTTGTTAAGAGAAATATGAAAATGTGTCCTTTTTAAGATAACCATAGAAAACATTTAGTGAGTACCTACTTATGTGGTAGGCACGTTCTCGTGTTATCATTAACCCTCATAATAACCTTGTGAGGGAAGGGCACGGAGTCACAAGGAAATATATAGATACTCAGAGGGAAAACAATAGGCTTTCACAGAATGAGAGAGCCATTCCCTATCTCAGATAGCCAGCCGTTCCTGATCTTTTAAACTCCTCCTACTAGACTGTGTCGCATTTTCTCTATTACAGGCAGAAACAGAGACACACCGTCTTGGTTCTTGCATAAGCTGAGGGCCAGATGGGTCCTGAAGGCCCAACGACCCTAACCACTGCGTAAATAGGCCAGAGAGACTGCACAGGGCTGGGCTGAAGCTAGGTGGGTCACAGAGGCCATCTCTTTGTCCCTTAATTAGGGAGCAGGACTTATTTTCCCAGGGAAAGATCTGGTCACATTGAGACCAAGATACCCGGGGCAGAAAGCAGTGTGCATGGCACGCCGGAAGGAGGACTGCAGTCAGCAGATCTGAGCTCTGGTCCCGGCTTCTGGAACTGCAGGGAGAATCTTCCAAGCCTGTGGCATCCAGCGTCTGTTGCCTCCCTGCACGTGTGGTTCTGAAATGGCCATGTGGGGCGGGGGGTGGAGCACTGGATTGGGAGACAGGAGAGAGTCCAGCATGCATTGGCCGCTGTCTGCATGACAATGACGTGCTCACTTTAGAGCAAACCACTTACCCTCTCTGTGCTTCGACTTCCTCATCTGTAAAATGGGAGCAGGGAGTGGACTAAATACTCTCAGAACTAACGTTTGAGTCTCGTTTTCTCAGGTCATCTGAAGGGCCCTTCAGAAAAACAGGCTGAGGGGTTTGCTCGAAAGTCAGAAGACAATGGCCAAGGGCACCCGTCCTCACTCACTGACCTCCCTCCGAACTCCTACAGGACTCCCACTCACTGGTCCCGGCCAGAGGGCGAGGGAGCCCATGGATGTTGCCTACACGGCCTGGAGGGTGTGGGAAGGTTGGGCGATGGTCACGCAGGGAAGGTTGCCAGGGCAGTGATCTGCCCAGCCTGTCTCCCCTCTCACAAGGGCGGTCCCCAGTTTCTGTAGCTCCTCCTCTGTGCCTAGGAGCACAGGTCGGGGAGTGCCTCACCTGGAGGGCCGTGGAGGCAAGGCAGGCCTGCGGCAGGGTGGCGTGGGATTTGCTCCCTTCTCCTGACACCTTTGTAGGAAAGTCTGTCTGTCTTTATTCATTTATTTATTTTTTTGAGACAGGGTCTCACTCTATCGCCCAGGCTACAGTGCAGTGGAGTCATCCTAGCTCACAGCAACCTCAAACTCCTGGGTTCAAGTGGTCCTCCTGCCTCAGCCTCCCGAGTAGCTAGAACTGCAGGTGTGCACCACCACACCTGGCTAATTTTTCTATTTTTAGTAGAGACGGGGTCTTGCTCTTGCTCAGGCTGGTCTTGAACTCCTGACCTCAAGCTGTCCTCCCACCTTGGCCTCCCAGAGTGCTAGGATTACAGGTGTGAGCCACCACACCCAGCCAGGACTTCCCCATTTTCCACCTTTCCCTTTCATGGTCGCCTTCTGGCACTTTCCCTGACCCTACTTGGAGGGACTTGGTCCAGTTTCTCAGGGATATCAGTACTCTGACGGAGAACTCCTCACGATTAAAAAGGCCTTGTTCAAGACCTCAGGAAATGGAGCTCTGCAGGGCAGGTGCGGACAGGCAGGACACAGGGGAGAGGTGGGCATGAGTGAGTCCTGGTCCCTCCGGAGGCCCCTGGGTCCCACGCCGCCTGCACCTTTACCCCGCTGATTCCCAGAGACGCTTCATGTCAGGCCACACAGCCTGGAACCTGGGAACCCGCTCTCCTGTGAAGGCCCCAAGGTAAGTCACATCCCTGAAAAATGCTGGCCAGGCAGCGGCGCCCAGGAATAGCCTGGCCGGGTGCAAGCACCATCTCTGTTGCAAGAAGGAGTGTCGGCTCCTGGCCAGGGCACGGGGCAGCAGGGCTCCCAGTGCCTCCCAGCATCTGTTGAGCACTGGCCTCACTGGTGTGGGGAGGGGGACACGTAAAGATGGCCTCTCTAGTGCTGCAGGAAAGAGACCCCCGAACAAAAGAATCCTGGCTACTCCTGGATGCCTAAATCCCTTTCAGAAAGGAAAGAGGCCTTCCGCCTGCACTCGGAGACCAGGACTAAACACCTCTGCGAAGGAATAAGGTGCTTTCTGGGAAGAGCATGGGACAGGGAGTCGGGACATGGCTGCTGCTGACCCCAGCCGTTCTGTGCCCCTGCCAGGAGGCCCTTTAACTACCACCAACTCAAGTTCAGTCCAAACGTGACCGTCCACTAAGGCCTTTCTGCAGAGGCCCCACCCCGAGAAGAGCCCCCAGTGCGGCTGCAGAGCCCCCCTCCCCCTCCCCCGCTCCTCCTCTCAGGCCCAGGCGTGGGCCCTGCTCGCCAAAGCGCGAGGAGGCGGCCCCCCAGGGAAGCCACAGGCACAGGGGCCTTTAAATTATGGAGCAGCTTTTCTCAACCCCTCTCAGAATGGCCCAGGCGCCCCAGCTAAATAATTCACCACCTCAGGAAGACCCAGTGGTTCCTGACACAGACGAAGTAGGTCAGGCGTGTGCTCGTCCTGGGCGGGGGCGGCGGGCTGGGCAGGCCTTGCTGGCTTGGCAAGTGGCAGCTGGTCCAGACCCTGCAGTGAGGGGAGGGGTACGAGCAGGAAAGGTGTCAACGCCCCCCTCTTCCTGGCACAACACAGCCACCAACTCCCCTGCTCCCAGAGCCTCTACTAAGGCCCAGGTAACCCACCCCGCTGCCACCCAGTTACCTGCAGAGCCTGTGCCTGGCCAGGCTCCTCGTCCGCCCTCATGGCACCTGGGTTGCACGTGTCACCCGAGCCTCTGACAGCTGCCATGCTCATCAACGGCGAGCACCTCAGGCTCAGGTCACCCAGTGCAGGGCTGGGATTCAGAAGGCGTGAAGCAGGGAGTGCTCACCCAAGGTGCAGGTGAGGAAGCGACCAGACGTAGCCACTGCAGCTTCGCTCCAAGCAGGGCTGGAAGGAAATGGGGTGGGGCGGGGTGTGGGGCAGGCACTGGGGCCTCCGCTGCCCTCCCTTTCTAGGCAGGGCTCTGGGCACGGGCTGGCGTCGGGGCACAGGGCAGCTCTCCCAGGACTGCGTGGAAAACGCCAGCAGTGAAACCACGAGGTCAGCAGGCCAGCCCTCTAGTAAGAACCGGAAAGGATTTCAGCCACCACTTCACAAGTGGGGAAACTGAGACCCCAAGTCACAAAAGGGAAGATTCAGGGCTGCTGCAGGCACCCTGACACCTGGCCCGGGCCAGCCTCTGCTCCTGGCACTGAGCAGCTCCTCTGACCTGCACACCCCTTTGCTCCTGCCCCCATCGATCAGCTCGGCGTCAGCTGTAGTGCAGAGCCTGCAGGGTGGACCAGGTTAACTCTTTCTGGGCAAGGGCCCTGGGTCGATCCTCGCCTCCAGCACAGCCTCACAAGAGGCACGCCAAGGCCAAACACCGCCGGAGAAGGAGCTCGACATTCCACACCTGAGTCCTTTGCTACTAGAGGGCTTGAAAAGACCACAGGCCATGAAGGGTTAAGCCAAGCCAAGTAGACAGTAACAGCCCAGAGAGGGAATCTCAGTCCCTCCCTCAGAACTGCTGAAATGAGGAAGTGAAGGAATTAAGCGGAGTGGGCTGACAGACACAGACACGGCCCCAGCTCTAGGACCCTTGGGCAAGTCACTTCCCCTCTAGGACTTTTCTTTTAAACTACACAGAAGAGGGAGGAGGAGGCGGCTGAGTGCCAATGTGCCCTCCCCATACACACTTCGCTTCCTTCCCCGCAGCTCGCGGCCTCCCTGGTCTGCCCCGGAGTGGCAGTCTGCGTCCCGTGGAAGGTGGAAGCAAAGGCCTGAGCGCACTCATTTTGACTTTTTTATTTTGCATTTCATATATTATCCAGTTTCACATTCTCACAGGATCAGCAATTACAACAGCCACCGAGTCTCCCAAGTCTGAAATGGCAAGACAGTCACAGCTGCAGCTAAAGGTAAAGCACTGACATGCTCACAAAAACAAAATAAAATTGCACAATTTTTCCTTCATTTCATTTTTCTTAACCTAATGCCTGACACAAAGCCTTTTGCTGAAGAATGGAAACCCTTTTCTTCTTCATGCCTCAAACTAAACATTAAACTCATCTGACAGGGCGAACGAGGTCTCTTTAATAATTAATGGTACACACATGAAAAATCCTTTATGATGCATAAATATTTTGTTACACAGGGTACAAAAATACTTCTCATGGTTTTGGTTGGTTTCGAGGTTTGCAGAGAACAAGGAGCATCGGCGGGTGGGGCACACAACGGAGAGGGAAGCAAGGTGGGCAGAGAAAGGGTTTTCTTGGGATCATTGGCCCATCTGAGGAGGAAGCAGAGGACCCTGATTTGAAATGAGAAAGCAAACATTTGCTGGGCGGAGGCGGAGCCTGGAAGTGTGTGGGGGTGGCAGGGGCGCCAGGCCCTCAGGGCAGGACCAGCCACAGGGCTCAGGCCTCCCTGAAGCGGTGGGTGCAGGGGTGGGTGGAGAGGGACCAGGCATGATGAACCACTGATGGCCAGGACCTGTTGCTATGGTGACACAGTGGGAGAACAAACTGTACACTCACATATACACAAGTTTAAGTGTCTTAATTCATGCCAGAAAACATGCAAAATTAAATGCTTTGTTTCCTTGAGCTGGAGCCACAGAAGCAAGTTTGGGCGGGAGGTCAGGCCTTGTGGGTCCCGGCGAGGCCTCCGGGCTGGATCTGGGTGCCCCAGCAGGAAGGTCCCCCAATCCTCCTGGGAAGCCTTGGGGAAAGGCATTGGGGTGCAGAACAGGGGTGAGGAAGAGGAGGGAAGGGAAATAGGAAGCAGTCCACTGAGTCAGGCTTCAGATTCACAGTCTCTGGAGGGCAGCAACAGCTCTGCACAGGCTGCCTGGGGGCAGTGGAAGCTCAGGGCGCCATTCAGGCACCAGCATCCAGATTCCAGAACCAACTCCCCGGTGACAAGACCTGGACGGAGGGGAGAGAGGAGGCCATGAGCAGAGGTGCAGGACTGGACTGACCCCAGGCCTTCCCTTGGGGAGAGGCTGCACAAGTGGGTGGCAGGTGGTCACAGGGCAGGAGGAGAAGGGGAAAAGCCAGCTGGATGCACCAGGGAACAAGCTCTGGGCTTGGCCTCGCACTAGCAAGCGCCCAGGACTCAGGCCGAGGGAGGAACCGTGGCCCTGTAGGAAGTCAGAGTCTAGGACCGTGTTTGGGCTGGGCCTCCAGGGCCAACACTTACTGAAGAACTAACAGAACTGACGATACTTCCATCCTTGCTGGGTGGTATCAGAGGAGGGGTACCAGCGCACCTGCAAGAGAAGCCAATGTCAGGAGCCAGCTGTGCCGTCCCTTCCCTCAACAGGGAGCCTGGTAAACATGGCCTTCAGTGTCCCTGCTAAAGTCCTGGTTCTGTCACTGCCTGGCTGGCAGACACTGGGCCAGTTATTCACCTCTAAGCACCAGTTTCTTCATCCTGAAAACGGGAAAGCACCACCTGATCTGCCTCCTCCGAGGACAGGGGTTCAAGGGAGAGGCTAGGAGGACATTTTCTTCTCTAGTAAGCCCAATCCGGGTGGGCCACACTATGCCAGGGGGGCCTTGCAGCTGGGGGCACTGATGCTGGCAACCTGCCCCTCGCCGGGAGAGCACAGAATTCCTAACATCAGTAGGAAAATGAACCTAATAAACTTTTGCTCGACTTCTCTGTGTCTCGGTGTCGGGTAGATGATTAAGTCACAGGTGGTTGCGAGGAACAGGATGTAAAGACACGGAAAACCCAGGTCAGCGTGGTCTCCCAGACTGTGGTCCTAGGTCCCTGTAGGTTTCTTCAGAGAAGCCACGGAGGAGACCCAGCCGGATGCTTCCCCACGTGGACCTTTCCATTCCTCCCGTTCCCCCATTACAAGCCTCTTAGGTCTGGAGGTTTGGAACCTACCAGCTGAGCCCTCAGGTAGGTGGGTGGCAGCTTCAGATCATCATCACTAGTGCCTGGCAGTCACCAAAACCCTGGCCCTTGCCAGAAGGCCCCACAGAGCAGTGGCCCCAAAGCTGGATTCCCAGAGACTGGCCAAGAAAATGACATGCACCCTCCCTGCCGTGGGCCAGTTGCCTGCGAGGCAAGCCACACTGGCTGCCAAGATCGCAGGGACGGCCGCCTGCCCGCCGCACGCAGTGGAGCACGTCTGCCCCGGCCTGACCCACGGCCACCTGGCAGGGCACCACAGGACATGGGGAGTCGGCAGCCAGAGAGGGGGCCCCTCAGTCTCCTTAGGAGGGGGGGACAGCACTTGAGAGCACTGTGGAAAGTGAGCAGAAGTTGGGCGTGCGGATAGCTCCCTTGAGGCTGGAGCAGGCAGACCCAGTTACCCACTTGGCTGCCTGGAATTTCTGCCTCCTGGGTAAACGAAGACATCAAACAATGCCAGGCTGTCTAAGGACTGACTGAGGCTTCTGAAGAACTTGCTCCCGTGTCCCTCCAAATTCTAGGTGTTTTGTATAGCGCAGAATTCCAGCTACCACGTGTTCTCGGGAGTCAGGCAGGAAGTTAGGGCTGGCTATCCTTAGATGCATATTGGGTACCTGGCAGGACCAGTCAGCAGCCACCCAGCCAACACCAGGGTCTTCCCTGGGCTCCGAGGATGTGGCAATGTTGTCATCAGGACATGGTTGACCCCAGGAACCACCTGAATTGAGCCTCACACCACACAGAAAGAGCTGGGAGCCTCCTCCAGCCTTTGAGCTGTCCAAACTCAGAGGCCGTATGTCCTATCCTGCCTCCTAAACATCTGCAAGCGGTTCCTTCCCTCCCTGGCTGACAGCTGTGTGGGAGGAACTTCTCTTGCCCTTTGCCGAGTCATGGGATGCCCTCTCAGCTGGAAGCCTGGCTGGACACTAGAACTCATTCCACAAGAGGGACGCACGAGGAAAGCAGCAACACTGCTACCAGAGAAGCTTGCAGCTTGGTCCAGCTCAGGGAACCCTGACCACCACCCTTCACCCAGCCTCCAGCGGGGCAGCCCCACAGCAAGGAAACAGCTGACTGGCTGGGTGTCCTGCAGGGCCGGACAAGGGGAGAACTTCGGATGACGGATGACAGAGTGGGAGGGACTCAGGAAGCCTCCAACGTACCCTCTTTTACTAATGGGGAAGCTGAGGCCTTGGGTGACTACTTAAGGCCTCCCTTGGCGAATCTGCTAGATCCTGTCCCATGTTCTCTCCACAAGGTGCTGTGGTGGCTGCTGCCTCCAAAGCAGCAACTTCCCCTCTAGCCTGAGATGAGTCAGATGACTCCCTGGGGAGAAGGTAGAGGAAAGCTCCCATTTACAGGCTCAGGATAGCTACACCTCTGACGCAGAAGGATGCACTTAGACGGGCTGCTTTTCCACTTCCCTCAGATGCCTGGCATAGGCCCGTGGCCTGGGTCCTCTAGAACTGCAGTCCCCAACCCCCAGTCTGTGGCCTGGTACTGGCCCATGGCCTGTTAGGGACTGCGCCACAGAGCTCTGCCCATCCCCATACCCCCCGTGGAAAAACTGCCTTCCATGAAACCGGTCCCTGGCGCTGAAAAGGCTGGGGACCACTGCTCTAGAGGGAGCATGTCTCTTCCTGGATCTCTTCTTCCTGACCCATCTCTGAAGAGGAGACTTCCAGGCCCAGGTGGGCACCTGCCAGTGTCCTTTCAGGGCCTGCAGCTGTCCATAGCAGGGGCTCCTGAGAGGCCATCCCACAGGCTGCAATGACCAGGCTCCAAGAGGGCTGCTTCAAAATAAAGAGGGCAGGACACAAACTTAGCCCTCTCTCAGGTCTGAGGACTAATTGGGAAAGTATACTGAGAAGCAGGCAAAGAACTGAATCTACATGAGAAGAAATATGAACAGTAACGAAAATGAGAGCCTCACTCCTCAGAAAGCCAATTAAAACAATACTTAACCCAGACTGGCAAGTCTATACTTTGACCTTATGATAGTTCTAGGAACTTATCATAAGGAAAACAAAACAGGAGAGGTGCCCAGAGAAGTGGAGACAAGGACATCCATCGCGGCATAGCCTATCAGTAGCAAAAAGTTGCATAAATAACCCTGACTTACCATCTACTGGGAGCTGGGCACAGCTGGACAATGGTGTACTAGCCAGGCAGGCAGCATGTACACCTATACTTACTGATATGAAAAACATGTCCAAATATTCAAGTTTTAAAAAGATTAAATAGGTATAGTAATTTCTGTGCAAGATTCATACCTATGGATTTATTCACACACCTCCCAACTACCTACTAAAGCTAAGGACTAAAAGTATTGTTTTTGTTTTGTTTTGTTTTTTCCCCGAAGCGCAAATGAGCATAAAAAGTAGTGGTTCTCCGGGGTGTAGGATGATAAGTCAAAGGGACAAGGGAAAAAACCCTGTCTTTTTTTCCATAAATGCGACCCACAACAGCTAATGCTTATGAAGCTCTTACCACACGCCGGATGCAGTCTAAGTAGTTCTTACATACCGAGTTCATCGGATCCTCACAAAAACTGCATGAAGCGGATGCTATTCTCACCTCTACTGTGCAGATAAGAAAAGAGAGGAAGGGAGTTTATGTAAGCTTCAGGTCCCCAGCAAGGGGCTACACAAGCTTAGGGGGAAAAAGAGCCGTGAAAGACACCCATCTCCTCCAGATGAAATGGAAATGAAATCCAGTCTGAGAGGACCCTGGGATGCAAGAAGAGACAGAATCCCTGCTTGTAGGCACCAGCCTTGTGGGTTGAACCCCCGGTACCCCTGCCATCCACACCTGCTCTCATGCCTCACCCTCTGACAGGGGAAGATTCTATCAAGAGGACTAGAAGGCCGAGAAGGATGGCCTCGTGCCGAGACAGAGTGGGGCCAAACGACCTCCAAGTCCCTTCCTGCAGGTTTGGTCCCTGCAGCCACATGGCCGTGGGGCCTCGGCTCGGGCGCGCGGTCCAGGTGCAAGCGTTGGGGCAGAGAAGGGAGGTCCTGGTTCTCAGTCCCTCACTCCTTGCCCCCAGGCACAGGAAAAACCCAGTCTTTCTACTGGTCCTCTGGGTTCAGAACAATCCACTTAGGATCAACAATGTCCACTTCCTTTATTTAGACGCTTTTAGCCTCCATCTCTGGGACAGTGCTGTTGGGAGCAAGGAGGGGACTCTTGGAAGGAAAGAGAAAGTGTTATTCCTTGGAAAATGCTTTCATGTATATTACTGCATTTAGCCAAAAGCTCATTTCACTTGTTCAGAAAATGGACGTCGAGAGAGTTTGAGTAGCCAGCACAGAAATGACGACTGCCTGGTCTAATCTCTTGCCATTGGTCTGCCTCCTCCCACCAAAAAAACAAGCCACTGTCCTTTAGAGTGGCCTCCACTCAGGTCAGTCCTGAGAAGGCCACAAGGCAGGAACTCAGGCACTAGGAGAACAGCAGCCTCAGGGAAGACTCAGGGGGACCCAGACAACAATGGTATTAAAATAACAATCATGATCATCTGCACTTCTATGGCACTTCCTCTGGGCCACCAGGGTAACAATAGCCCTAGGGGTAGGTACTATTATCACCATCTTACAAAGACACAGAGAGATAAAGTGACTTGCCCAAGGTCATACAGGTGTTGCAACACAGACCCAGGACTTGGATAGCTGCAGAGCTGGGTAGGATGGGAGAAAACTAGGAAGGAAGACATCAGGAGGGCCCAGCCCTGCAGGATGGAGGTCAGAGCCAGGCCCAGCGGGGAAGATCATGTAGCTGATTGTGGCAAAGCTGGGATCAGAGGTGAGGACGGGGAGACAGGAACCTGTGATTCCAACAGGTGCCTCTGCAGGGCCCCTGCAGTTAGACCCACCCCACTTGGCCCAGAGTAACTGCTCAGGTCCAAGACAGACAGGCTTCCTGCTCCCTGCTCTGTTCCAGCCACAGAATTGTTTGCAGTAAGTACCCTCCAGGGGAAGATCTTTACCACCTGTCAGTCTTGAGGCTTGGCTGTGGTGTTCAGCTGGGGAAAAGCACCTCAGTACAACTGAAAGTTGCTGTGGCCAGGGAGACTGCCCCTGCTGGGGAAAATGCTTTGCCAGGGGAGTTGCCCCTGAATTTGAACGTCCCACCTTGGAACTGGGTGAACGCAGATGACACTAAGTCCCTCACAGGGCCTGAAGGTGGATGTGCACTGGGCTCTCGGCAGGGCGCCAGACTCCTCCCATCTCTACCTGCTGCATCCTGAGAATGCTCCCTTCCCTCCCAGGCCCCTCCTACTGGTCAGGCCAGGCCAGGTCACAACAGCCTCAACCCCCTCCCTCGCTCCCTGGCTGGGTTGCTCCTCCCCAGGCTCAGCTCTCGGCCATTTGGCTCATCAGAGGCTGAGGTGGGCTTGAGGCTGCCCTCAGCCCTGCTCCTGTGCCTGCCTGGCGGCGTCCTGTCCACATACTGGGCAATGTCCTGTCATCGCCACTGTGAGGCATCTGCCCACCCCCCACCCACACTGGGACGCGGCCTCCCCAGCAGAGAGCACCTGGGGCCTGTGTTTCTGGCAGAGTCTGATCAGAGGAAACACCGGTGTGGCCAGGGCTTGGGCTCTGACCTGCCTGCCCCTCAAGCACCTGGCCCAGCTCTAACCCTCCCTCTTCCTGCCCCAGAACAGGCTCACAGTGGACAGCGTCCAGCCTTCGTGGAACAAGAGCAGATACTCAAGGGGCTCTCCGCATGTTCCAGGTACAGTTCCAGCACTCACACAACACCTCGCAGGTCTTAACATCTAATTCTCGCCACAACCCTAAGGCAGATTATGTTATTCTCCCTATTTTCCAGATGAGTAAGCATCAAGACACAGAAATTTTAAAAAGCTCGAAGTCATGAAGACAGAAAGAAGCGGAGGCAGGTGGTCTGGCTCTGGAGACCATACCCAGGTTGGGACACGAATCACGGTTCTGTCACCGAATTATGGTTATGTCACTGCAGGAGAACACAGTCCAGTGCCTGGCCATGTGCTCAGGGGTGGCTGAACCAGGGCTGGTCTGTCCCTGCACTCACTGCATTCTGCCTCCAAGGGGCCTTACGGCTCCTTTGCTCCCTCCCCCCGCCAGGTCCCTGGGACCTAGGCTTTCAAACCATCAGAAAGACAACAGTTCTGCTGCAGCTCTGGGACAGCAGTGGCCCACTTGCCAGGCAGGCAAGCGTCTGGCTGGCCTGGAGCCCTTGTGCTTCCCCGCCAAAGGGGCTCACCTGAGCATGGAGAGCGGCGGCAGCAGTGGCAGCTGGGTAGGTGAATGCAGCGTGGGAGATGGCTGGGGTCAGTTCTGTGGTGTACAGAGGGTAGGGGGCCCAGGCTTCTGGGGACGCAGGGATCAGAGCAGCCCCCATCAGGTCATCTGTAGGGGGAGACAACGGCCTCTGTCGTCAGAACTCTGGTCTCCCCTTCCAAACAGAGAAGGGCAGCCCAGCACTACGGTTGAGCCATAAGCTCACACTGAGGCAAGACTCCCCCCACCCCCACCCCCGGACCCTAAAACTAGGGAAGGAAGTATGGTGCGAACTTGGCCTGGCACGGTGAGCATCCTGTCTGTTTCAAGACACTCTCAGGCGGGCATCAGCCCATCTCACCAAGAGAAATCAGAGAAGCCTTCAGGAAGGCTGAGCAGCCCGACAGCTCAGGAGCTCAGGAAAGGCTGGAGTGGAGGAAGGAAGCCTGGAAGTCTGAGATGGGCGGCTGTGGATACAGCAACAAGAAAAGGGGCAGATGTGTAGGACTGAGCCCCTCAAGAAGAACCTATCTGCTCGGTGTGAAACTCCACTAGGGCCAGCCGGCCTGGGCCAAGTCAAAGGGCAGGAGAAGGCAGCTCAGAGTGCCACTCACAGGGGTCCCGTGCGATGAAGTGTGCTCCTAGGGCGGGGTGCACGTTGCTGGGATTTGGTGTTGCCATTAGCTTGCTCTTGGCCATCTTGGTGTTGGCTTTGGCAAACTCTAGCCTCAGGGTCTGCGGGTTCTCAGGATCAAAGCGAATACCCTACACGGGAAGGAAAGAAAGAGAAAGACTTACTCTGTAGGACCCAGACTGCAGTGGGTATAGAAGGGCCCCAGAAAGAAGCATGCGCGAAAGACCTGCCCCAGCAGTGGAAATGCTGCCCGGGCCACGGGAGTAACGGCATTTGGCACAGACGGTGCAGCCGAGGACTCTGCCCGGGGACAGCTGGGGAATAAGGTCCATCTGGACGCCCATTGCCTAAGGTCTGTGGGTCAGAGGGAGACCGTTCTCCGCCTACTCACATTCAATGCATTCTTGGCCACTTCTGCTCCTGCCCGGCTGTCAAAGATCACAAAACCAACAGGCTAGTAGGAAAAAGAGAGAACACCCTTGCATCTCTCCCAGCATTCCATCTCTCCCTCCAAAACAAAACACAAGGAGCATCACCTAAGTGGAAATAGTATTTGTTCTGCTGACAAGAACAGAGAAGGAAAAAGAAAAACAACAAAAACCTTTGTCTGCACCCTCCCTAGTTCAGCCGGAGCAGCGGGTTAACATGCACCAAGTCCAGTCTCCCTCCTTGGTAACGCACTGTGGGAAATGATGCCAACAGAGCTTTCGTCCACTGAATTAAACATCGCCCTTTCAGTAAAAGTCTTTTTAAATGCATGTAAGTAATGAAGTTCCAGTGTTTTCCCTGGCAAGAAAGGAAAAGGGACACCCAGGGTATCAAGGGCACAGGAAGGCTCTGAATTCAATCAAAGAGCAGCAGGTTGAAAACTTTTCTGACTTCGTTTTGCCAAGGATCAGTCTAGATCCCAAAGGGCCCTGGCTTCTGTCAGGAGTCAGAGCTCAGCTACCACCTCTACTGTTCTCAGCCACAGGGCCAGGCAGTGGCTCCCAGATTCCAATGAGCCAGACAGGGAGGACCAGGGGCTGACTGGGCTTGGACGGCTGGTAAAGAGGCAGTGGAGGCCGGGCGCGGTGGCTCACGCCTGTAATCCTAGCACTCTGGGAGGCCAAGGCGGGCGGACTGTTTGAGCTCAGGAGTTCGA